CCCCATTTTAGAGCTGTCACATATTTGGTGAGTTGTCACTGACTGTTGTCTCTGCTGATGTGAGGCACGTGTCAAACACCTGGTTGACCGTGGTAATTAAAGTGAGCATGTAAGAAAGATTCAAACAATGTCACTGCTGTCTGACTGCACACGGTGCCTCTACTTATTATAATCAGATTATTACCTGATCCCACCACTACGTGTTAACACTCAGTGGTGGCTGAAAGTCTGTTTTTCCACCTAAATGAAAATATTAAGTGCTGTTTTGCCACAGATGTTCACATCAGATTAATACATTAATTACGGTGGAGAATAAATCAGTGGGTTCTATCTGGTTTTGGTTTCCCACTAAATCTACTGATGGACCTGAAGCCAATGGAAAAATGGGTCCATACTGTAAGAAAACTTCTTCTTACTCTCGCGACAGTTGGTTTATTTGAAATAGGATTTCATTTTTAGTACCAGACTGTCTACAATAGTGCTGTGACCTGTGCTGCATTAACCTGACCTGTAGACTCACTGATGTGCAAAAACAAAACACAATTTTTATTTTTTTTTTGAAGGGAACTTTCGGATTTTGATAAAGACGGTGCTTTGACCCTGGACGAGTTCTGCGCCGCCTTTCACCTGGTGGTAGCCAGGAAGAATGGCTACGACCTCCCAGAAAAGCTGCCCGAGAGTTTGATGCCAAAGCTGATCGACCTGGATGACTCAGCAGGTGAGGAGTCGCCCTACTCCCCCGTAGCTCCCCCATCCTGGAGCTCTATTAAAGTGTGTGAGGTAACCGCACCGCAGTGTGGGAAAAGCCTGCCTCCTGTTGGTTGTATTTCATTTATTTGAAAAGGCTGCAGTGCTACAGTAGATACAGTGCTCTGCTGCCAGTTAAATGTCAGCTGTTTGCAGTGATGAGCAGGTTTATCAGGAGTTTTTATATTCTATTTTATGTTGTATATAAATAATTGTATAACAGATGAATTCAAAAGGAAGATATCAGGCTAACAGGTTTAAGTTCAGGATCCTTTCCATCAGTGATTCCATTCAATTTCTTGAAAAAACATTCTTCTTTTTTTTTTTCCAATGTGGAAGTCCCAGAGCAGAACGTTGATGTGGGATACTCCGGCTCTCCAGTGGAGGTCACCCCCAACAAATCTCCCTCCATGCCTTCACTGAACCAGGCCTGGCCCGAAATGAACCCCAACAACGAGGTTCTAACAAACACACACACATGATCGCTCCTGGTGTTTTCACACATTCTGTACTGGAGTCTCTGTTTGATTCAACCAAATGAGTAATTAGTAAGAACTAAGAGGTCACACTTGTCTTTTCTTTATTCATCAAATGCATTTTCATCCGTTTCATCATCAAACACAGTTACCGCTTATTCACCGTCTCTCTTCCCGATTCTCCTGGACTGTGGTTCTGTTTTGGTTACCACGTCACCTCATCTTGATAGGTGGCGTCTCAGAAAGATGATATAGATGTGTGATGTCACTGCACTGCCTGACTGACTGACATGTTTTTTTTTCTCAATCTGTCTGTGTGTGTGTGTGTGTCTGTCTCCTGCAGCAGTGGGAGACGTTTAGCGAGCGCTCCTCCAGCTCACAAACTCTGACCCAATTTGACTCTAACATTGCACCAGCTGACCCTGTAAGTCAATCACTTAGTCATTGCATGGTTTCACCATTAATGGACAGACATTAACCCTCTCTGTATCTCTGGAAAACTTTTCCTCTCTCTTTCTGTCGCTCTTTCTGCATGGTATCTTGCAATCCGTCAGCAGGGGGCAGTGTTTGTCGTGATTGGGCCTGGCTTGGCTTCTATTTTCAGCAACATCCACTTTTTGAAATGGTTTCTTTACCCCGTCATTACATTAGAAACATAAACAAAGAAATTGTGTGAAATTTAATGGAATCTAAAGATAATATTTATTTGTCCTAAAAAGAAATATTCCTAAAAACACTTTGTTCGAGTTTATATTCCACAATATGAACAGAGGATTTGACTTGGGTTTGAACTGGGTCCTGTGACATTTCCAACTCAAAATACATATTTATAAAAAAAAAAACCACAGACACTATACACACTACACACCTCCAGTCACCGATCAAAATGACTGAGGTGATGACGTGCATGAATATTCTACACCAGGAAATATTTAATACAAATGTCACTGCAGGAATTGTCTCCAAAAAGGTGGTTGTGTTGGTGTGTGTTGTATTCGTATCAGTACTGTGATGTGTCACTTCCTGGGCAACAAGGATTAGTTGCAATAATTAAATAAAAATATTTATAAAATATTTTGAGAAAAATCCAAACAGACTAAAGTAGGTGTTACCTTGTTTTAATTAAATTACAGCAATATATTGCTAAGCAGCAAAGATACAACTGATCTCTTTAAAAGGCAGATTCTGTAAAATTCAGAAAATCAGGTTTCTGAACTGCAGTAATTTGTCTATAAAATATTCAGTGTATACTCCTGTGTCCTTGACTCTCACTGTGTCATGATGTGAAGCTGCGGTGATTCCTGTCCAGAATCTTCTACTTCACAAAATCTTCTCTCCTTTTTTTTTAAATTTTGTTTGTTTTTTGGTCTTTCCGTCCTGCAGGACACGGCCATCGTTCACCCCGTTCCCATCAGAATGACGCCCAGTAAAATCCACATGCAGGAGATGGAGCTGAAAAGAACAGGCAGCGGTGAGAAAAACGTTGTATCTCCAGCGTCTCCAGGTGGTGAGAGTAGAATTTGAAAACATCCTTTTCTTCCCTCTGTGTCAGACCACAACCATCCCACCAGTCCTCTGCTCACGAAACCGCCAGAACTGTCTGAAGAAACCAAACTAGCAACCTCCATGATGTTTGTAGCCGCTAACACTGTAGGTGAGTCAGTCATGTATGTGGAAGATGAGCCGTCCTCATCATGTATGTATGTATG